AGTGGCACAAAGATTGTTGTTGGTTTTGCTTTTAAAAATCATTTCATATTGCAAACCCAGCGATTATTTCATGCTGTTTAAACTATATTTGTAGTCTTTGATCATGCATAAGTAGACTCAACTTAACTGCTGATAGAATGATGATATTGTTCTCTGGGTTTTTTCTTTTTCTTCTTTTCTGTCTTTCAAGGACCCTGGACCCAAAAGCTGGGCTCCAGAAATTTTCATTACTATATTGCAATGCGCCTTTGTTTCTTAATTGGTTCAGGACTACCTATTTGCATGACAAGCAACATAATTCAGTTAGAAAAATCTGTTGTGTGTATGGTATGTATAATCTATATTTATTGCATTTTATAAATTGCTGATTATTTAAAAAATTGAAAGACGCCGGATTGGCAAAGAATGCCAGAGAGAGGGAGAGGGCAGCAGTTGTTGCTGATTATTGTTATTTGAACACAGGCTGGTTTCTCCGCGCTGCCTCCCCTCCACTTTTCTTCAGGAGATCCCGTCTGTCAGCACCTCCACTCCCAGCAGGAGATACTGTGCCGCCACGAGTGGGGGCTGAAAATGGGGCGAAATAGGTTTTGAACAGCAGCGTCAAATAAATTCAAGTGCCTTTCTAAATATATTTCAAGATTAAGTAATTAAGGATTGTAAAGCACTTGGAAAAAATAAAGTGCCGTGTAAGTGCTAAGTAATAAAGAGTAATCATAACAGTCATAAAAGGGCGAGCTGCTCAATCTTTCTCCCTTCCTTCCCTCGGAGGGTTTCCATCCTTGCAGATTGGGCTCCTGAATACAAGCTCCTTTATTTCTAATGAAGAACCTAGGCTGTAAATAATAATGGTAATTAATAAGGAGGATGTTTTTTTAATAATAATGAGGACATTCCTTTTTTTAAAAAAAAAAGTTTTGTTTGGTGACTTAAAGAGATCATGCCCTACCCTCATTCTCCTCCCACTGCTGCCCACCCAGGAGAGGTTTGTGCTTCCTCTAATGGCTGCAGAGTAGCCTAGACCCACAACTCTCTCCCAAGAAACCCTTGTCCCTGTTGGTTCCAGCAGCACCAAACATGGCCACTTCGTCAACCCGATAATCAACTTAATGATGGGTGTTTAAGATTTGTTTGGTGTTGTTGATGATTTCTATCATCTTTTCAATAAACCAGGCCACCTGCAGTGATGGCTACAATTTCCCTGGATAGGTGGGGTATTCCATTCCCAGATTCTTTCAGTTCCTTGAACACATTTTACAACAGTCTGACTACCCTGGGCGTCCGGGTGCTGTGTGTGACCAGCCTTATCAGTAGTGGCCGGGTGCGGGTGTAGGGCAGGACGTACACATCAGTTACTTTTCACGTTTCCTTTCCACTTTCTCCAGCCTCCCGGAGGGAAGCACATTTCCTCGTGTGCACTTCCTTGTTGCTGATGGACTGGAGGTGTCGCTGCCTCGCACAGGGAAGGACACAGTCCTGATGGGTTTTGTGCCCACAGCGCACGATGACACTCGTGACTTGGATGAACCCCGAAGCTGATTTGAACACCTGGCCCTGGAGGAGGCAGGTTTTCAGCCTGATGTGTAGATATACAAAATAAGGGCTCAGAGACAGGTTCCAAACTGCCATTTCTTTCTCTTTCAGACGAGGGCGTCTGCTACCCTACGGTAAGCGTGGCCTGTTACAGAATTTAGTGTTCTTTACTGCACTGGCACACAGCACATACAGCCAATACTCATGCTTGTTTGGCAGCCCTCCTGGAAATGGGCAGAAAAGGGATTCAGCAGAAACTTTGATTAAACAACAGTGACAGAACAATTGCTTATGACACTACTTTTTTTTAGTTTTTCCTTTCTTTAAAGCGTGACGCCAGGAAATCTCTGACTGAGGCACGTAGTCATTTGTGCGTGGCCTCAGTAGCGCTTGCCCTCAAAGGATTCTGTATCTGTCCCAGACACGGAGGAGGACACGTTCCAAGATGCTTCAGGTGGAAAGCAGGAATTGACTTATGGCCACCTCCTGAGAATTTGAACTTCTCCAATAAATCCTCGAAAAAAAACACCATTAGATTGGTAGGTAAGACTCCACTGTTGAGAGAATGACCCAGGCGCTGCTGTCTCAGGGGGCCCGAAGCGGTCCAGGAGTCTGGCCTCGGTCTTCTCCTTAAGCATAGTTGGCCTTTCCTTTATTTGTGGGCGTCTCCACGGTGCTTCTGAGGTCGCCGTCACATGTAGGAGTGTGGTAGACCTGGAGGGAAAGAGACAGGAATTTCAAACCCCCTGAGAAAGTGTTGAGTCTATAATAAAGGTCCAAAAGGCAGAAGAAGAAGTTCTTGAATCGTAACTCCTCGGAAGATTTTCCCGCGTCTGACCTTGGTCGAGTTGTTTATTCCTTTTGGTGCTTTGTAACATTAATCCGTGTAGTATTCAGAATACTGTGAGGGTTAAGAATAATCCCGAAGCAAATTTTATTTTGCTATAGTGTTGTAATAATTTTAAATAGTCTTTTAAATTTTTCTTTAGCTTAAAAAACTTCCTAAGTTATTTTATCTATTAAAATATCCAATTGATTTATAAAGTAATTATGTAGGGAGCAAATGATTATAAACATTCAGAACTATGCAGGTACAACTCTTGTGTGGATTTCATGAGAAGAAAATAAAATATTTTACAGAGATGTGACAAGCAACTCAAGAAGCAAAACTTCTATTTTTTGATGAGTTTTATTAAAATCTGAGTTGAAGCAAATGTGTCCATGAAACAGTCACCACAAATCCTTTTGAAATGCATTAGCTCAAGGGAAAAGAGTAGAAGTGGTAAAATAAAAATTAAATCTGCAAAAATAGATGACATCTCTATACGGTTTTGGGGAGAAACACAATTTAGGAAATCCTTTATCATGAAAAAGTACCTAAATCAAATCTTCAGACAAATGAATCAAAGAATATTTGTAATTTCTCTCAAAGGACCCAGACATCTGAAATAGTAGAAGTGACACTCACATGAGAGTTCTCGAGTATGGTGTTCTTGTTTTTATGAAAGCATGTAAAAAATGTATTAGCAATAAAACCTACAGACTGCAGATGGAGGGAGCGAGACAGTAAGGGATTTAGTCCAGCCGGGCCCAATGCACTTCCTTGTTGGCCTTTTTTCTCCTCCTTCCAATACTCAGACCCTGTGTCAGTTTGGATTAGGTCAATTGGAAACATCACTAAACTTTGCCATTTTTGTGGGTGGGGACCTGAGTGCTTTTATTTGCCTTTGAGTCCTTTTGAGTTCCACCCCTGCGCAGAGCAGGGACTGTTTCCCTGGCGAGGCCAGCTCCGGGTGCCTCGTCAGGACTGTGTCTTGCAGGCCTAGTGGCCGAGCCCATGAGGGGTCTCGAACAGATTGTGTAACTGTTGCACCACCAATGTGTACACGTGTGTCACTAATTTAATTTTAATTTTACTGTATGCATTTGTATAAGATCCTGCAGCTGTCATGTGCTCATCATCTGTCACTGAACTATCACTAAGCCATGCTGGGCTAAGACAGGATTATAAACGATGAACTGCCATGTGCTCCAAATCTTCTTATTTGCCTAGCTTGGAAGGTATGCCCTGTAAAATGTGATTGGCACTGTGCTCGGTGCTGGCCATTGACTCTGCAAGGCTTCTTCTGTTGGTTCTTTGAGGAGTTCTCCGGGGCCGCATTGCCTGTCACCTGCTGATTCCTGCACTTGCCTGACCTTCCAACCTCCACCTCTCTTCTCTTCCCCCGCTCGTTTGGCTCCTAGCTCAGGGGCTGCAAAACAGGCCCCGAGGCTCTGGTGGCACGTGCAGTATCTAGGGCATATGGCTGACTGGTTGTGTGCAGAAGAGGATAACTGAAGCCAAGCAGGCCCAGCACTGTTATTACAGCAGATGGGGGAAGCGTGGCATTCAATATTTAGACAGATGCCACCTCCTTATTCCACCTGTCTGGAAGTTGGACATCGTACAGAACGAATGTCTGCCTAATGACGAAGGAAACAAAGGGCACATTTATGAAGCGCAGCGGAGCGGCGTGTTTACTGAGCACGCACAATGCAATTGTTGACCGTCACAACAAACGTGGACCGCTCCTGGTCACGTGCACACAGCGACAGGCCGAGCAAGGGCCTGCGACTTCGGGCCAGCTGCTTGGGTGTCTTTAATTTTGTGGGTTGGGAGCAACAGATCGGACTCTAAGTTTGTGGTGTTGCCTGAAAGAATTCCATTGTCTCAGATGATAGCCCGTGCTCCTTTTGGTTAACATCCTCCAAACAAGTGTCATTGCCCTTCTGTTTTTGCATGTTTCTAGAAAAATCCAGTCCTTCATTTTCTCATCTGTGAGTGGTTTCTAACCAGGCAGAAAAGAAAAGGAATTATCTCTGTAACTGCTCCTGGTTTGATGTGTTTGGCTTCAAAGTGAATATCTTTTTTTTTCCGCTTAAATTGAAAATATTGATAATGCTGAACAAGAAGCAATTTAAAGATGTAGTTAGAAATGAAAAATAATAGTGTGTATTATTTGGCAGAGTGGATTTTTCTCTAGTAGTAGAGCGTGTGGTCTTTTATATGGTTTAATATGGAATTGTGTCACTCCTTCTTTACAAGTTAATTTTTTTTGGTCAATACTAGTCTTTATTTATGTATAAGGCTATTGCATGTTTTATCAGCAAGGAGTAACTGCACAATTTGTGAACTGGCTATAGATTTCTTACAAGACTAGAAGTTGGCTAGCTTGTTAAGAAGCAAAATAATCTTTGATTTCATGCTTCTAGTATTTACTTACTATAACTATCCGCACAAAATGGAAACCTCCTTTCACAGGGAAACTAGAAATGGAATACTCTAAGCCAAAAATGTTGAAGGCAATAATTTGTCAAAAGCAGTCAAAGGTTAAGCATTTCCAGAAGCCCAGCCAATGCCGTTTAAGAATTGGCCTGTGTGACAAGACAAAACTCTGTTTTTGAAAAGACCTCCTGATATCTATTTCCAGGAGCATTGCTGATCCGAAGGCCAGAATCATTACTAGTTAGCAACACCAGCACCGAAGGACCAGCCGCGCTGGAGTAAGTGACCAAGCAGCACTTGGCGTGGACAGGTTTGTTCCTCTTCCCACTGTTTTCACCCAGGTCCGGGTTTTGGGAAGCAGCCTTTTCCTTCCTTTTTCTCCAGTGCTGTTGCACGTGAACCCCCATCTGAGGAAAGGCATATGGGTGGGAAGGGGGGTCACTCCTAATTGAACAACCTGGGACTCACGAGGTTAATTACAGATATTAGCGCTGCTGTTCTTCAGCTTCTTGCCCTCAAGAAGCCTCTAGCTTCCAAGTGACCTGGCTCCAACAAAGACACTCGCTTTAGCCCATTAACTAATTGATAAAAACGTGAGTGTTTAGAATGAGTCTAATTAAATCACCGAGCCTTACAATTACTAGTCCATTTGGTAGCTGTTGGGAGATGGGTAACCTCAGCTGGCATTGTCGGGGAATAAAAGATACAAATAAAAGGGAGCTTAACTAAGATCATTTTGAAAGCTGTTCATTTGAAGACGAAGTACACATTTGCCCAAAATGTCTACATTTGCTACTTCAAATGCATTCCCTCTCTCGGGTCGCAGTCTCTGAAAAAAGAAAATAATGTCTTTTTTTCCTTCTTCTTTAAGAGCAGGCGTGCTCCACTTTACTTTGTCTGAGAAAGTTAGATGAGTGTCTCGGGGAATTTTTCTGTGTTAGCATTAAGCTAAATTCCTTCAGAGCTTGGAACACTGAAGTTTGTCACTGAGCTTTTGTTTAAGGGCCAGGAAACGTCTTGAGTAACAGACATGTTAAAACCCGGGTGGGCTCTCGGGACTTCTCACCCTGCCCCGGGCCTGCCCTGCCTGGCTGTGCCGGCAGCAGCCCTGGTGCCCGGCTTGGCTCATTGCTGGGCGGAGGGATGAGACCCATCGACGGGTAGTGGCAGGTCCCACAGAGTGCGTGCACAGGGCCTCAGCCACCCAGCCCACCATGACGTTCGTCCGCAGAGACATTTGTGAAGCTGCTAAGTGGAGGCTAACGTAGATACCATGATACTTCTCAAATCAATTTATTGATTTAAGAGCTGAGGAATTTGAGAAAGAGGAAACGTAATTTCTAAAGTTCTCTTGAATATTTTTCTGGATTTATTTAGAAAAGTACTCTATAATTTTTTAAAAAGGCTGTTTATCCTGAGGTCTCAGCTAATCTAGGCCAACATCGGACTCTTGAAAAGGTCACATAGTGGATCAGAGAGAGAGTGGGTGAAAGTGCTCTATTTTCCAGGGTATCTTTGTGGTTGATGGTCATACAAACAAAACCATGGGTTTTTGAACGAGTGCACCTCTACCTAATCCAAGGTTAGTGCCTTCACTCTTAGCTTTGAGCAATGGTTGCCTCTCTTGGAAGCATTCAGACAGGGGCTAAGCAACAGTTACTTTTCAAAGTCTCTGTGCTGTTGGAGGATGGATGTGAACATCAGCCCGTGTCAGTCCTCCCTAGGCATGTTAATTGCCGGAGACATTTATATCAGTGAACAGGGAGCCCATCCACTCTGTATTAATATAAACCCAAGCAAAAAAGCGCATTCCACTTCTTCATCATTTAATCTTAGTCGCCAAGAGGAGGTGTTTTCTTTCTGATTATCCTGTCATTCAACTCATGCTAATTAGCGAGTGTAACACAACTTTAGCCGACAGTTTGGTTGCAGGTGTATTCAGACCTAGGGAGATTTAATTACTTGCTAATTGCCTGGTGTCCAAGGTAACATAATATTATAGTTGCAAATGCTATGGTATTAATCCATTTTAAAGAAGTGCGATGTGGCTTAGAGTCCATGTTCAGAGACTCCTGGAGGACGCTGTTGGCATTGCTACAAGTACAGAGAGGGTGGGGGATTGTGGCTTTTGTGTGACTGAATACCCAGTGTCTGGCATAGGGTGGAACGCATAGTAGACACTCAGTAAATATTTATTAAGTAAATACGAATGAAAGTAAACCCAATACCAGTACAGTGTGAATTATCTGAGCACAGGAAGGAAAGCTGTGTCTTAGGAAGTTAAAAACCAATGCCAGGAGTGGGCATTTAGCCCAGTAGTTAAGATGCCTGCAACCCATAGCCGAGTGCCTGGGTTCAGTTCCTGGCTCCCACTCCTGAGGTCAGCTTCCTGCTAATATTCACCCTGGGAAGCAGCAGTGATGCTCCAAGTGACTGGGTTCCTGCCACACTTGTGGGAGACCTGGATTGAGTTCCCAGTTCCCAGCTTGGGCCCCAGTCCAGCCTTGGCCATTGCAGGAGTGAACTAGGCAGGCAACAGGAGCTCTCTCTCTTTATTTGTCAGTCTGCCTGCCTGTCAAATAAAGAAATAATTTTGTAAGTGGATGGAAAAAATTGAAAAAAAAAAAAACCAGCATTTAGGGCCAGTGCCATGGCGCAGTAGGTTGATCCTTTGCCTGCGGCGCTGGCATCCCATATGGGTGCCAGTTCTAGTCTCGGCTGCTCCTCTTCCAATCCAGCTCTCTAATGTGGCCTGGGAAAGCAGTAGAAGATGGCCCAAGTCCTTGGGCCCCTGCACCCACATGGGAGACTGGGAAGAAGCACCTGGCTCCTGGCTTTGGATTGGCACAGCTCCAGCTATTGCGGCCACCTGGGGAGTGAACCAACGGATAGAAGACCCTCCTCTCTCTCTCTCTCTCTCACTGTCTGTAACTCTACCTCTCAAATAAAACCTTTAAAAAATAGCATTTCTTAGATACCTCTGAAGGCCAAATACTATACATTTACCTAAATTATTTCATTTTACCTTCTTGAAATGATAATGTAGTAATTAAGACTGAAGACTTTGAATAAGAAAACTGAATCTAAATCACAGTTCTGCCTGTTATCAGTGCTATGTCCTTTGTCCAGCCATCTAACTCTCATAGGCCTCAGTTTTGTCATCTATGAAATGAAGCATATGCAGGAATAACATTTAAAATATCTAGCATATAGTCAACAAAACAGTTACTGCTTTTTTATTTTGTAATGAAACGTAAGTACCATATATAGAGCTCATAGAAAGCAGTATAATTGACATACTATGGTGGATACTTGAGACTAAGGTTAAATAATTTGGCTAAGCTCACAGAGCTGGCAAGTGGCAGACCAAGCAGCCTGATTCCAAGTCCCAAGCCTTCCCCATTGTATCAGACTACTCAAAGGATACACTGCCTGAATAGTTGTGGCTGGATGACACTGGCTCTGTAGCGCTGAAATCAGCTTCTAAAAGTAAGCTTGCTGGGTTTTGGCAGCTACAATAAACTTTGGAGCCCAGCAAATTGTATGACAATAATTGCATCTCCAACCATGTTTCAGGCTGCAGGTTGCCAGCATTGCCAGCACCGAGATGTCACTTAGTGTCTCATCCTGATCCTGGGGTTGACACGTGGGGATAGGGGCAATAAAGGCACCAGGAAAGTGAAGCCAACTGGCCACAAATAAGATCAACAAAAGTTACAAGGACACACTGAATTAAAAATCAAATTTCACCACCTTTTAGTAGATGAATAGAAGAATGCACTTGATAAGAAACCATCGTCATTCATCTTTTTTGGCCAAAGGTTATATAGTTATATATATAATTTTGTATATATAACTACAGTTATATAGTTCTGTAGCTGAGCTTCAGGCCAGTCTGCAATATCTGTCGCACATGAAGTGAACAAGTGTTGACTGGTTAATCTGCCTGGCCGTCCCCAGAACCCCCTGGGGCTGTCTTTGCTTGTGAAGGGCGGTGGCTCCTTTAGCTTGCGGGATGACTTCTTGGGAGTGAAGACACCTAAATTTCTCTCCGCGGTGTCTCTGGCCCTGGCCTAGCAGCTGTACACACTGAGGTTGACCAGCTTCACCCTTCCTTTCTGAGATAACTCTGCAAGGATGTCAGTTTTGTGATCTTTGCCACAGCTGTCGCTGAGTCACTGCGCTCATCACTCTGTGTGGGCCAAATAGATCTGTTCCCTGCCCCTCCCCTGTTGGCCATCATACTGTTGGTCATGAGCAGGACCTTGCCAGACTGTGACTGGCTCAGAGTGACATCCTGCTGCTGGGAAGACATCTCACTGAGCATGGTGGACCCTCACCCATTCCTTGCCGCCTTACCACCACCTCCATCTGGAGTGCTGCTCTTCCAGCTTCCTCCTCAGATTTCTAGTGCCTCTCCCCTTTCCTTCCCCAAACGTGATGTCAGTCACTTTGCCCAGGGTTCCTGCCCACTCTTCACCAAGAATCTGCTGCTGTTCTTCCTGGTGTCCAGCTAGTCTGCTTTTTCTAGCCTCCCTTGCAGTGAGTTGTACGTGACCATGGTTTGGAACAACTGAGTTTTAGACAATTGAATATGGATGACTTGGCTCATACATCTGCCGCACCAGTGAGTGATACAGGGGACATCCAAGCTTCTCTACATCTGTTCTGCCACCCCCTTACCCACACCGTTCTGGATGCCTGGGATGGTTATGCTCAAGGTGACTTTGGAAGTTATGTGGTAAACAGGGCAGAACCTCCATCAGTCTGGGTCCATAAGTGGCCACTTAGACCAGAGCTGCCTTTGACATGCCTGGAGGATGAGAAAAAAGAAAAAAACATTTGCTGTTTATTTGTTACCAGTATAAAACGAATACCAGGAACCTCCACGCAGTTGGTGGGAACACTGAGGTACAGGATTGGCTTCCTTCTGTTTGCCCACTGTGTAGGTGATTTCCCTTCCTGCAGAAGTATCTGGAGTTTGATGGCATTTGGGAACAATTAAAATGACAGTGTTCTCCTGAGAGCCTACCCCGTGGACCAGAGGACACTGCCGTCGCTGGTACAGGGAGAAGGTGCAGCATTTTGTAGGTCACTAACGATCCTCTTTTTCCTGCCATTGGAATCATCTGTCATCATCTAGACTATGACATTGACTTTTTCTCCATCCACAAGGCACAAGTGAAAGATGACCGTATTATTTGTCAGCAGGCAAATGTACTTCAGCCAGGCTGGCCAGTATGCCCCATCCTAACCCACTGCCAACAATGGACTGTATGAGGGGGCTTTCAATTTCGTCAAAATCAATAGGACACTTATTCTACTGGTTCACGGTTGAGAAAATCACCTAAGTGCCTGAATTGCCTCGGAGGACAACAAACCAATGAATTCGGACTTGGGGAAAATGTCATGTGGGCATCTGCTGTCTAAACAGGCTGGTGCTGTAAGGTCAGGGAACCATTTTTATAGTAGCAGCTGTAAATCTCAGGACTTGGACTCGGCTCCCCACACATATCCTTTCTCGGTCCTAGACAAGCTCCCTTCTCAGACTCTAGAACACTCAGAAGGACTCAGCATGGTGGGATTCGGAGTTCTCATGACACGTTCTGAGAGAGGTTAGGGACTTCAGTCCTCGCCCAAAGCAACGAGACAGCCATCTGCCAGAGAGGACCAAGTGTCTAAGGGAGCAACTGCATTAGAATTTGAGAATCAAACAAGTGCCCCAGACTGGAATAAACCCCCTCCAGTCAGCACGTTCTCTATCACAGCACAGTTGAGGAGCATAATCTGAAGCCAGGAAGAGAAGCAGCAGGTGCCTAAAGAGATGGATCAGCCCGCTCACTTGTAGGCCACAGTACACACTGTGCATTGATGGTGATAGCAAAGAGATTATACATCATAGTGGGCATTTCATATCTTATTCAAATCCCACAGATGAGACATTCACAGGTCTTGGCAAATAGAAAATTCAACATCAACTCAAGTGGCTGATAAAATCGCAGTCACCATTGTTGGGTATCCCCCAGCCTCAAAGCCCAGTTTTCCAAGGATGAATTCAAACACCTCACAGTTCTCCTTCAGTGGTCATTTCATTCAGTGTTAAGTCCCAGGAATATTTCCCCCCTAGGAATGTTTGCCACTAAAATTCAGAGCCCATGACATTGTATTAAATAAATCCTTTGAGTATGTCTCTAACGAACATTTAGCCAGGCAATATATCTTGATAGAACAATTGTTCTTCAAAGTAGTGTGGCCTACAAGAGTCTTCTCCCTGCTTGCCAGCTCAATTCTTATTTTTGTTTGAAAAGCAGAGAGAGAGAGCAAGAGGGATGCAGAGAAAGAGAGAGAGAGAGAGAGAGAGAGAGAGAGAGATTTTCCATTTACTAGTTCACTCCTCAAATGTTTGCAGTAGCCAAGGCTGGGCCACCTGGGACTCCATCACGGTCTTCCACATGTAGGCAGGGACCCAAGTACTTGAGCCATCATTGCTGCCTCCCAGGGTGCACATTAGCGAGAAGCCGGAATCAGGAGTGCAGTTGAGACTTGAAGCAGGCACTGTAACAAGGGCTGTGAGCATCCTCAGGGGCATCTTAATTGCTGCACCCAGCGCTCACCCTGTGGGCCCCATTCTTACACTGCAGATCAGTCAGTCAACAGAGAGCTAGCTATGTGAACAAACGCATAGCTGGATGGAGTATGACAGTTTCCACAAGGTGCTGATGACGGACCCTTGCTCTTTCGTTTTGAAGAGATGAGGGGAAGGCTGTATGTGAACAGGTGGCTTCTTCAAGCTGAAGGTAGATGGGCGGTAGGTTTCTCCAGAGTGGGGCAGTCCCTGTGAAAGTGGATAGCACACTGTGCGGGTGGTGAGCAGAGCCCCAGGCTGGTGCTGGGAGAGCAGCCCATGCCATATGCACTGGGAGCCTCGCTTCAAAGGCTCCCTTAGTCCTTGCACTGGCCACAGGGAGCGAATCTGTGGGAGCTGAGGCTCCGCTGTGCCACTGAAGCTGCCCATAACCTGGGAAAGAGAAAAATGAGAAAGGAGGTGACTTGATACCCAACAGCTGTTCCCTTCTGGCATCAAACCTGCTAAGGAGACAGTGATTCCTAAGGTTTATAAAGACACAATGTCTGTTACCGTTTGAAGTTTTATTTATTTATTTTTTGAAGATTTATTTATTGATTTGAAAGGCAGAGTTAGAAAGAGAGGGAGAGGGGCCGCACTGTGGTGTAGCAGATAGAGCTGCGGCCCACAGTGCTGGCATCCCATATGGGCGCCAGTTTGAATCTACTTCCGATCCAGCTCTCTGCTATGGCCTGGGAAAGCAGTGGAAGATGGCCCAAGTCCTTGGGCCCTGCACCCATGTGGGAGACCTGCAAGAAGCTCCTGGCGTCTGGCTTCAGACCAGTGCAACTCCAGCCATCGTGACCAACTGGGGAGTGAACCAGCGAATGGAAGATCTCTCTCTCTCTTTGCCTCTGCCTCCCTGTAACTCTGTCTTTTAAGTAAATAAACAAATCTTAAAGAAAAAAAAGGGGGAGACACATACATACACACACACACACACACAGATCATCCACCTGTTGGTTCACTTCCCAAATGTCCATAACAACCAGAGCTGGGCTGATCCAAAGCCAGGAGTCAGGAGCTTCTTCCGGGTCTCCCACGTGGGTGCAGGGGCCCAAGCACTTGAGCTGTCCTCTGCTGCTTTCCCAGGAGCATTTGCAGGAAACTCAATCAGAAGTTGAGCAGCCAGTACTCAAACCGGTGCCCATATGGGATGCCAGTGCCACAGACGGCAGCCCTACCCACTATGCCACAGCGTCAGCTCCTATTTTTTTCTTTTTAAATTAAAGTGAATCGAAACTATTCCTGGAAATGTTTTGGGTGTGCGGGAGTATCATAGACACTACAGCAATCGATCATCCCAGAGATTTACCCTCTCCAAGGATGCTCAGCCCTCCCAAAGACTCCATCTTTTAGTGGATCCTTCTGCCCAGAGGAGAAGGAAACTCTTCCTACTAACTAAAGTACAGCTGAGAATCACATCTGTCATTTGTAAGAGGAACTCGGAGAGACATTCTCTGCACGTCTTGTTTGAAACTGAGGCAGTGTGGAAGAGTGTGCCTCGGGTACAGGAGGGCAGCTACTGGAGGACCTGGTAGTCAGACGTGTGGTGTTTTATCACAGCTGCGATTCTGAGGATCCTGACTCTGGCGAACAGAGCAGGGGCATGGTGTGCCAAAATCTACGAAGGGGTGTCAAAAAGGTGGTAGAAAACGGAATTGAAAATTTACAAAAAAATCCATGCATCTGTATTAATGGTCTTCAAAAAGTCCATGGAAAAGGTGTATTATGGAAAACTATGCATAGATTTCAGCATCGTTTTGCACCAAAATAAACATCTGTTCATTCTGTTTTCCACAGGCTTTTTTTAAAAGATTTATTTATTTATTTGAAAGTCAGAGTCACACACAGAGAGGAGTGAGAGAGAGAGAGGTCTTCCATCCGCTTGTTCACTCCCCAATTGGCCGCAATTCCTGGAGCTGTGCCAATTCAAAGCCAGGAGCCAGGAGCTTCCTCCGGGTCTCCCACGTGGGTGCAGGGGCCCAAGGACTTGGGCCATCTTCCACTGCTTTCCCAGGCCATAGCAGAGAACTAGACAGGAAGTGGAATAGCTGGGACTTGAACCGGTGCCCATATAGGAAGCCAGCACTGCAGGCGGCGTCTTTACCTACTCTGCCACAGCGCCGGCCTCTCCATGGACTTTTTGGAGGACCTTCACATATATGGGTTTCTCCTGCTGGGAGGTTTGTCCTGGACATCACCCTCATCACCATAACACACTTCCCCCGCCTCCTCAGTGCAGTTAGCTGGCACCATGCCTCCTCTGCACCAAGCCCTATCACAGGTACTTCATTGTATCACTGAGAATAATAATCCGCACACAAATCCCACGAGATGGTTTCCTTCCCACTCTTATGGTGAGGCCACAGAGGCTCAGAGAGGTGAAGTGACTTCCTCGAGGAAACACAGAGAGTCAGCAGCTGACCTTGCCTTGAAATCCAGGTGTGTGGCGGCCCTGGGTTCTCAGCAAGGTGTTCAGGCCCCACCTGCCGATGGGAAGTCTGAGGCCTACCTGTGTCGCGGTGGAACCAACTTTTCTTGCAGATGGTTTCTTTTTAGAGAATTTTTGTTTTCATGTGTTCAGCAGGGCCTGTGCCTTTCTCTCACCCCAAATTGCTTCCCAGAGTAAGCTGAGCATTGGGGAGAAAAGGAACTAAAAATTATGTGCTGTGAATCTCTCCCAGGAGGAAATGTCATGCTGATTCCGCACAGGCCAAAAGCTCAGGTGTATTTTACGCGGATTTTCTCAACTGGTGACTTCAGCCTTTCTGCATTTGGCACCTATTAGGGGCTCTCCAGGGGCCTCCTGCTCCACAGACCCTCCTCCCCGAAGATACTGCCGTCCAGTCAGGAGGCAAAACAGACACACAAAGTAAGCAATTAGGACAGGGAAGTGTCAAATTGTGTGGCGCCGCTGCTGGAAGTAAATACTGTGGTCGCGAAGAAGAAACACTTTCCTAGGGGTGCGGGGCCGGGCGCATTAACGGGCTTATTTGGGGAGATGTTGAATTTAAGGAGATGAGGTTTTCCCAGCCTCTGACACGTGGACGTAGCTGGCAGTGGAGAATCAGAGTTAGGGGAGTGGGCAGGCATGGAGAGGGCTTCTGAGTTCTATGTGGGGACAGCAGGAAGGGCTTGGGGTTTCAGCTGACAGGGAGACCAACAGGCTGAGGATGAAGGGGCCCCACAGCCCGAGGCCTGGAAGAGAGAGAGCCAGGGATGGCTGCAGGACAGAAGCGAGACTGTGTGAGGGGGAGGGAGCATCTGTAGCGTCACCAGCCAGAGGGTGAGCAGGATGAGGGTGGCACCTGAGCTCTCTCTCGTAGGGGCCTGGCTATGATTCCATGATTCTGAATTCCTCACAGGGACGAAGGCCGTTCCTGCCCCCAGCCTGGCCCAGGAAGACTTGTGACTTCACAGCCTCAGTTTACCTACCTCAGCGACACTGACACAACCTATTTGGGAGCCAGAAGACTGTAAACTTAGAGATCTGTGCAGAGTCCAAGGTTTATGACGTGATGAAATCAAGGAGTTTCCTTACAAACAGCGAATTGATACTGCGTGTTTGAGTACGTGATGTCTTCTCATTTCGCCAGCATTTCAGATGTTTGCAGGCAGTGCTCGGGGGACACAGAGATGCCCCCAAGGGAGCTGAGAAGCCAGCACCACCCTTTAGGGCTGGCCTTGCACTGGGAGCCAGTGCTGCGCCAATCAGCAAAGCCAGGTAACTGTTCAGAGAAGTAATTGCATCTTTGGCAAGGGACTCACTGGTCACATCAGTATTGGTCTGTAGGAACCGAAATGCTGAAAGACTCAATATAACAAAATCATCAAAAGCCCACGGACCAAAGTAATTTTTGAGAAATTTATGAGCATTGTAATTCACTCTGAAAAGGTCAATCAGAAAACTCAAAGGGCATTAGGATGTGCTGTAGACAAAGAATTTGCCCAAGGCTAATGTATCAGGGCATTAAAACGTGTTAGCCCTGCGACTCATTTTTTACCCATCTACCCTTTGGAATGGCAGGGACAAGGAATACATGTACACCTACACCTGGGCCAGATGTGGCCCAGGCAAGTGCGAAAGTCTTTCCAAGTAGCCCAGCCACAGGAGGTTCAGGATCCAACCCGAGCCAGTCCTCCCCTAACCCTGGCACACACACCATCTTAATTACTGTCCTAACAAACATACCTCATCCTGTGCCTGATCCTTTAACAAACATTGCTTGTATAATGAATAAGAGCCCCACACTGAAATGGCCCCACTGTGGAACTAAATAGGATACAGCTGTCAGAGCTGCTGATGTGAACTCCACGGGGTGGTGCATCTGAGAGCATCCCCAAAGCCTGAGGGAAGGGGTTCTGGGGAGGGCACCTGTGTAACAGCCACATCGTGCTGTGTTTCACTCTCAGCCAGAGAAGGACAAGGAGAGCCAAGCTGTAGATTTAATTCAGGACAACCCCGTCGGTGTCGGCAAAGATGGGATACACGGTGCCGGCTAGTTAGGGACTGGGACTGTGCCCTGATGGAGGACGTTGAAGACAGCCACTGCCATTTCAAGTGGTTTTGCCCCAGCTGACAGCATGCAGGGGTGGCCTGTGGCTCCTCTGCAGATTCTGGTACAAACTGACATTCATAACTCACGAATTCTTAGCAACTCTGCTAGCTAACTTGTTTAACATCATTGCTGCTTCTCTTGTTTTGTTTTAATTTTTTAAAATTTATTTATTTGGAAGGCAGTGGGACAAAAAAGAAGAATGGTAGGAAAGATCTTCCATCCACTGGTTCACTCCCCAAATGGCTATAACAACCAGGGCAGGGCCAGGCCAAAATCAGGAGCCAGGAGCTCCATCCTGGGCTCACACATGGGTGACAGGGACTCAAGCACTTGCGCCATCATCATCTGCTGCCTCCCAGGCGCATTAGCAGGAGGCTGAATCAACTGGAGGAGCCAGGACTGGAGGCAGGCAGTCTGGTCTGGGATGCAGGCATCCCAAGCAGCGGCTTACCCTGCTGTACCACAACACAACACCCACCCCCAGCCTCTCCTCATTTCAAAGTTGAAACTCGGGGCCAGCACTTTGGCGTAGCGGGTAAAGCCACCGCCTCCAAGTGCCAGCATCCCATATGGGCACCGGTTCGAGTCCCAGCTGTTCCACTTCCTGTCCAGCTCTCTGCTATGGCCTGGGAAAGCAGTTGAAGATGGCCCAAGGACTTGGGCCCCTGCACCCACATGGGAGACCTGGAAGAAGCTCCTGGCTCCTGGTTTTGGATTGGCGCAGCTCCGGCTGTTGGGGCCAACTGGGGAGTGAACCAGTGGATGGAAGACCTCTCTCTCTCTCTCTCTCTCTCTCTCTCTCTCTCTCCTTCTATCTCTGTGTAACTCTTTCAAATAAATAAATAACTCTTTTTTAAAAAAAGTTAAAACTTATCATTTGTCCCTCTCACCTTCAGGGCTATTTGTGAAGAGTTTGATGAAGAGTTGAGGACAAGAATCACTGAGTGTTTATTCACTGTCCCTTGTGGGTTACACACAAGAAAAAGACATGGATTTACCCTCCAGGGGATGTGTACTTGATTGGTACAGATAAAGTACACGGACACAACATAGTGAGCAGATAATGGCTGGTTAGTGCGACCGGAACAAGAGCCAGATGTTGGGGTCTTGGCTGTAAATGGCAACGGAATTCAGAAAACAAGGGGACTAGCTAACCAATGGAGGCTTCATCGTTTCTAAGTTGAGTGCACTTGGTTAATTCTCAAGAGATCTTCATGTGGCCGGTGCTGTGGCGGAGCAGGTTAAAGCCCCAGCCTGGGCGCCAGTTTGAGTCCTGGCTGCTCCACTTCCAATCCAGCTCCCTGCTAATGTGCCTAGGAAAGCAGCAGAGGATGGCCCAAGTCCTTGGTACCCCGTACACACGTGGGAGACCTGGAAGAAGCTCCTGGATCCTGACTTCAGATTGGCTCAGCTTTGGCTGTTGCAGTCATTTGGGGAGTGAACCAGCGGATGGAAGATCTGTGGGTGTCTCTACCTCTCTCTATCTCTTTCAAATAAAATAAAAATCTTTTTTTTTTTTTAAAGACATCTTTATGTGATGGGCACCATCTCACCAAGGATCAGCTGGAATCTCAAAGAGGTTAAGTGACTGATGAACTGCAGGACCCGAGTTCTCACTGGAGTCTCTAGGGCTTTAGGACCCAGCACTCATAACCGTGGCACATGAGTGGGTTCTCGTTTGGGGATCGTGGGTCCAAGCATCCCCACTCCTCAGTGGTTGGATTTCTGGATCGGGGTCAGGAGTGTTTTCCTCGGAGTGTGATTTGTTCTTGGCAGAAGGCAGCAGCAGGTTGAGAGTGGCTTAGCGAGGCTTCACGACACAAGGGGAGGGTCTCGTGCCGCTCCTCGGTTCAGAGCCTCCCACAGTGTCCCGCACCCTCTGATGTCCAAGACAGCTTTCGCAGGTGAGCGGGTCTCTGCAGCCTGCTGCGCCGCCGCTTCATTACCGGAGCTGAGAAGAACAAGATGGATCGGAAGCAGAGGGGGAACGAGCACTCGGCTACCTAATTGGTCACTGCCGCGCGTGTGTCCTCAGGGGACAGAGCGCACAACCAGAGGTAATAGTTTACACACGTACTCTTGAGCTGTGCAATAGACGGAAAAGGGTCCCAGATGGATTGGGCACGGGCTTAGTTCCGGGATTAGGATGAGACAGTGGGTAATTATTGAGTGGCAGGGCCTCCGCCGTGATTAGGATCTGCAAGCCTGTCCCCTCCTTCAGAGGAGAGCATTGATAAAGATAAACCGTGCTGCTCCGTGCCCCTCCTGCGGCACACAACAACACATTTCAATCTAACAGGATCAGGTCTCCACTTTGATCACAATCTGTTACCTAGATGTCTCTGCAAATTAATCAGTCCTGCTTGTTTAGCTCCAGTCAGTTTGTACTGCTAAATTAATAAATGTACCAGGAGCAACAGAACACGTAATTAAATTCTACAGTTTAATCTCCACATAATAATTTTGACCTCAGTCTGGGTCCTCCGCTGTCGCCAGTAGACAGAGAGAACCCCAACCTTCCACGGCTGGTTTCCACCACAAGCCACCCTCCAGGTGAACTCCTGGGCTCCGAAAGCTGCAGACATCCTGTTACCAAAAAACATGAAAAGCAACCCAAAAACCGCATGCTGCACTTCCAGGCAGAGGAAGTCGGTGAGCTGAGCGGTTGGTAGCTTGAGCCAGTTTGGGAAAGTGCCATTTTGGCAAAAAAAGTACAGGAAAACCCTTGTTTCAGAAACAAAGGATGCAGGCTTGCCAGGGTGAGCGCCCTAGGAGACTGAGAAGAGCGCCCCGCTGGCAGCCTGGGAGCTCCCTGGGAGAGAGCGGAGCCTGGGCGCGGGCCCCTCCCTGCCCGAGGGCCTGATGGACAAGTTCCGCTTTGATGCAGGGTCCTCAGCTGATCCCCGCACCTGACGCTGAGCCCGACTCAAAACCCAACTTGGATTTTCCCGTAGGTCTACAGGGTGTTTGCTGTACCGGTACCTGTTAGGAATGGTGAAAACGTTTGTTGTTTGTTTTGTGAAGGCTTCTATTTACTCTTCAAAGCTGGCTACTTTAGTGTTGGCGAACACATAGACAGTTATCTGATAATCAAGGTGAACTGTTGCGTATGACTGGGGTGGCATTTTTGCTGTCTTCATGGGCAGTTCATTGTGCTGGCACCCCTCTCCTGGTTTCTGGAAGCAATGGAACCAGGACAAGAAGTCATCATTACTGTGTCTGGGAAAGCAGCGGAAGGTGACTCAAGTCCTTGGACCCCTGCCACCCACGTGGGAGATCCTGAGGGAGTTCCTGGCTCCTGGCATCTGCCTGGCCCCTCCCATTGTGGCCATTTGGGGAGTGAAACAGCAGATGGAAGATCTCTCTCTCTCTCTCTCTCTCCCTCTCTCTCTCTCTCCTCCCCTCCCCCCAAGTCCACCCCTTTCAAATAGATAAAGAAGTCTGTGGGGCCAGCATGGTGGCACAGCAGGTTAAGAAGCCATCAGTTGGGTGAGAGCTGGGAGATGTGGCCCAGCCTGGGCTCTGCCACTCCCCACTGGTGACCCGCTCAGGGCACCTAACTTCTGCGGGTCTCCGTTTTCCCATCCCCCACATCAGAGGGTTTGGACTGCATCATCTCCAAGAGACCCAAGTTCTGTGTGTCTGTGTTTCCACTTCCACCAACTCAAGTGGGAATCAAGGCCGTTCCGGGAATAACGCGAACCCAAGCGACTGTTTTTTCTCCCTCTCTCGCTCCGTGATTAGGGTATTTCAGGCAAAGCTGGTTCTGGAGTTGAGTTTTTAACCTGAATTCATAGATAATTGCCTCAGTTGTGTCACTTAATTGTGTGTCTGTCAGCACAGGCTTGATGTTGCTGCCAGACAACCAATGATTAAAGTATTTGATTAAATATTCAGCAGCGTGGGATTCTCATTCAGTACAGGGCTGTGTGTGTGAGAGGGTGGCAGGGGTAGGGGAAGGATTAGACATAATTTGAGAGCGTGTGATATTTGGGTCACCAATGTTTTACCTAGAATGAATTGATTTCATTTAAAAAATAACTTGGTCTTGTCACAAAAGAACTCCAACATAAATTAAACATGAGGGATGCAGCTGTGCAGTAAGATGTTAAAATACAGATGATTTCTGGGTAAAAAAAAAAAAAAAAGGAAGGCTTAAAGGAAAGGTTTTAACCTGAAATTAATTCAAGTATTATTTACTTAAATACTCTGGCATGCATTTGTGTAAATACAACATCTATCTTTAGAAGAATGACTTTATTTCAGCACTCTCAATTATAGATTACAAACAGCTACTGGAGAAAGGAAGGGTAGTGTGTGTACCTTCCTGGGTCTCATCTGAAAAGGTGGAGAGATTAAAAAAAAAATGGATTTCATGTTTATAATAGAATAACTCATCGCTGCTTATATGAGACAATTTGTATTGTGAGTCCCCTTTAAGACTTTCCTAAAAGTGCCATCAGTATCATTTAAGATGTGGAATTCCCTGAGGAAAACCTATTAAAGGGTCCGTATGTCACCAATGCGAATAACAAATGAATTAATTATGACTTGTGCAATTACAAGGAATGGTTAATGAAGCCATAATGACCAGACTCTGGTGGTTAATTTTCAAAGCACAGTGAGAGGGAAATGTGGCAAAAGGTCCCCAAAGAAAGCAATGAGCTCTGTGTACCCACCTTGGAGGCAGGGTCTTTGCGCGCGCCGTGGGACAGGGTTTAGAAGCACACTTACTACTGGGATGGGGCTCTTCCTCCTGTCTGTCCCCAGCTGGCCACGGCTCCAGATGTCCCAGCAGCAGCAGTGTGGCCACACCAGCAGCAGCGATCTCTCAGTTCCAGTTGACTAGGGTTCCAGAACTCGTAGTTTCTTATTTGAAGGTCATGGCAATAGGGGAAAGTTGGCAGAAACCAAGTTTCAGTGACGACGTGGATTTTATTTAGCAAGAAAAATAAAGGGCATAGCAGGTAAAGCCGGTATCCCATATGGACACCAGTTCAAGTCCTGGCTGCTCCACTTCCAGTCCAGCTCCCTGCTATGGCCTGGGAAAGCAGTAGAAGATGGCCCAAGTGCTTGGACCCCTGCACTCGCATGGGAGACCTATAGGAAGCTCTTGGCTCTTGGCTTCGGATCAGTGCCGCTCCGGCTGTTTCAGCCATGTGGGGAATGAACCAGCAGATGGAAGATCTTTCTTTCTCTGCCTCTGCCTCTCTCTAACTCTGCCTTTCAAATAAATAAATAAATAGATAAATCTTTTTTTAAAAAGGGAAAGAGAGGGAGAGAGAAATTAAAAAATAAGTGAGCAGGGGCCAGCATTGTGGCACAGCAGTTTAAGCCACCACCTGTAACTCTGGTATCCCATATGGGCTCCACTTCCTATCCAGCTCCCTGCTAATGGAATGCAATGCAGTGGCGGATGGCCCAACTACTTGGGTCCCTGTACCCACATGGGAGACCTGGATGGCGTTCCTGGCTCCTGGCTTTGGCCTGGCCCAGCCCCAGCCATTGCAGTCATTTGGGGAATAAACCAGCGGGTGCTAGATCTCTCTCTCTCTCTCTCTAACTCTGCCTTTAAAATAAGTAAGTAAATATTTTCTTTAAAAATGAACAAAGTGAGATACAGTAGAAGAGTAAGGGGATGGGTATTTAGCCTCCATATATAAGGTACCCCTGTCCCATATTGGATCAGAACGGCGGGGCAAACACCCACCTGTGGCTCCTGACGCCAGCTGCATGCTAAGGCAGGAGGCATGGTGATGGCTCATGTGTCTGAGTCTCCACCACCCACCTGAGAGACTGGATGGAGTTCCCAGCTCCTGGCTTCAGCCCTGGCCCCGCCCAGGCTGCTCATTGCAGGTATCTTGGGAGTAAAACGGTGAACGGAAGCTCGCTCTTGGTCTACCTGTCTCCCAAATAAATAAAACAACAAAGAAAAGTCAGGAAGTAGGAGGGAGTCGGAGGGGAGGCTGGTGCTCAAACCCCAGGCCATGCCTGGGCCTCTGACTTCCTCAGCCGGGTCAGTTTTCTCATCTGAACAAGAAGGGGGTGGGCCAAGCTTCTGTGAGTATGTCACAGACGAGTGTCCATGACATCCGTGTTCAACAGCCTGAAAAGCAGTTGCAACGAGGGAAGAGCCGTGCTGACTTCTTTTGCTGGTGACTAGAGTGGGAAGGGAACGGCGACGTGTTTGTGACTGAGAAAGGAAAGCAAACCAGGAACTTAGGAGAAATATGAGCGCCGATACTCCTCATAGTGAAGCTGTAGTAAGATTTTAATCTGGCGTCCTGCTGATTGCCCAGACATCTACCGTCTTATAAAACACAGACACACACACACACACACACACACACAGCCCCAGCTACGGCAGACATATGTATAAGATCGGGGATGCAAAACCACCCTGTTGTATTGTTAGTGAATGAGAGGCCTGTTTGTAGGGTTTTTTTTTTCTTTTTTCCTAATGTTGGAGGAGAGAGCTTGAATTCTCACAACAGTGAGGAAACTCGCATCTAGATCTGTGGCAGGCTCCTGCCAAGCCTTTCTTCCTGGTGGAGCAGGCGCTGGAGGCCAGTCAAGGTGGAAGGGACGCTTATGAGGGCAAGGTCACGGTGCGGAAACCCAGGGGCCAGGTTCTAATGGCACCACCCCTTTCACCACCAATGAATGCATTTATTCACCTCTGAGGATTGGGAATTAGTTGATATCTGTCAAAATAACAATGGGCAGCATCCAAAACACACAGAGGACTAAGTACTTGCTAGCTGGGTATTTTGATAGTGCTTTATCTGTGCAATCTACATTCACAGTTTTCCAAGTCTTAAATCCATGTCGAGGTTATATTAGCTGTCCATCTCTGATTGGTTCACCTTTTTTGAATGTCAAGGGATTTTCCAATAGGAAGCTGTCTTCAAAGACATCGACTGGGCCCCCTCAAGGGAGGTTCTTGTGCATTCTATTAAGTGCAGATATTGATGACCTACTGTGTGCCAAGCCCTTGACTAGATGCTGCCAACGTAGTGAAGAACCCACAGCCTACTCTCGTGAAATCAGCAATACAATGGGGCAGCCAGACAACTGATGCAGATGCGTGTAGTTTGTCTTCCATCAGGGCTGGAAGGGGCCGGGGAAGCCCAGAGGCAGGGCACCTACTGTCGGTTGGGCTGAGAGGGGTTCTGAGAGAGAGCTTCCTGGAGGAAATTGACTTTGAACCTGAGATCCGAAGGATGAGGGAGAGGCAGAAGGGTGTAGATGTTCCAGGTGCAGGACAGGGGGGCGGAACCTCAGAGTGCATATGATGGCGACAGCAAATACAAGGGCACCTCAGAGAGACCATGGAAACACAGTGCGACAATGAGCTTCTTTTGGTGCCCAAATATTTGAAATCCGTGCATAGTTTTTTTCACAGTATACGTTCTCCACAAACTTCCTAAAGACCCCTGTCTGCACTGAGTGCTTGCTATTTGCACAGCACTCTTCTAAGTACTTTTGATTTTTCGTTTAGAATTCCAGAATGGGACCGAAGGTAGCGTCAGTGAGAGATGCCATCGAACCAACTGTAGAGGCTGTGTTGACCCTGTATCCGAAACTGCTTCAGAAATAAAATACAGAAGTGCTCACTGCAGTCGAAAATTGCGTCTGTCCTGCTTGTGGCAAGCAGTCCAAGCAAATATAAGCTAATTTCCCAGAATGCTCAACTCAAAACACAGCAAGAGGGCACAGAAAGAAGCCCGCCATCTACACACATGTTCCCCAGACTCCCAGTTCCCCTCACTAAGGACACACGATGCTAACTGTTGCTTCGTTGTCACTCCAGAGGCATTTTACGTCCATTTACACCTGTTTGGATGGCTCTGCATGATGTCACGTGGTAGCACTCGGCACACACGGTTCTCCATTTTTTTCTCTAACTCACCAATGGGAAGGGCACGGATCCATATAAAGCATCCTTGTTTTTTATGGCCCTACTGGTAATTCATTTAACCTATTTTCTATTGAAATATAGAAAGAATTCCATAACCAACTAGTATGAGAGTACTTCCAAGAGTTTGTGGGGAAATGGAATTAAAAGGTAGTTTATTTTGGTGCAGAAAGTTTTGAAATCCATATTATGCATTTTCCATGAACTTTTTTTTTTATTTGACAGATAGAGTTAGACAGTGAGAGAGACAAAGGTCTTCCTTCCATTGGTTCACCCCCTAAATGGCCACTACGGCCAGAACTACGGCAATCCAAAGCCAGGGGCCAGGTGCTTCCTCCTCGTCTCCCATGCGGGTGCAGGACCCAAGCACCTGGGCCATCCTCCACTGCCTTCCCGGGCCACAGCAGAGAGCTGGACTGGAAGAGGAGAAACTGGGACCAGAACCCAGCGCCCATATGGGATGCCAGAGCCGCAGGCAGAGGATTAGCCAAGTGAGCCATGGCACCAACCCCTTCCGTGAACTTTTTGAAGACTTCTCATGTGCATGGATTTCAAATTTCTTCTGCAACAAATTAAAATTCTCTGAAAATTTTTAATTTGTTTTTTATTTGAAAGGTGGAGACAGAGACAGAGAGGTATCTCCCATCTGCTGGTTCACTTCCTAAATGCCCACAACAGCTGGAGGTGGGCCAAGCAGACGCTAGGAGCCTGGAAACCAACCCAGGTCTCTCAAGTAGGTGGCAGGGGCCCAGGCACTTGAGCCATCACCTTCCTCCTCCCAGAGTGCACATTAGCAGGAAGCTGGAATCTGGAGTGGAGCCAGGACTCAAACTCAGCCATTCCGACAGGGGATGTGGGTATCCCAAATGACCTCTTAACTGCTAGGCCAGATCCCTGCCCCCAAAACTTATCTTTTAATTCTACGTTCTATAATCTTTTGGAGTACCCTTGTATGTCCTTAGGAAGAATTCCCGGAAGTGGGATTGTTGGGTCAGCACGTGACAGCGATCTCCAAACTGCTCCCCAGAGAGGCTGCGCTGACGTCAGTGCCTAGCTCCGTGCTCACTACTCAGCCCCATGCCCTTTCTTGGTGTGTGCTAATCAGATGGGTGAAAACAGATATCACGGTGTAGTTTTAAGTTGCATTTCTCTTCTCAGGAGTGACGCTTCACTGGTGTTTCTCTTCTCAGTGTCTCTGTGATGCACATGGGACTCAGGAGTGGACTTCAGGAGTGGAGGATCACTGAAGGACTGACACAGGCGCGCTCACGTGCTCTGAGTTGTGAGACCCTGGAAAAGAAAGGGGCAGAGTCCACGGCAAGACTCTCCGCAGACTGAAGGAAATGAATTAACAGCAAAGAAAGGCATTTGCAAAATGTGAGGACTCAAGTTGCCCAAGTTATGTTTCTCTGCCTCGCTACTGAGGTTTTTCTACAGGGACCAAAGTCCATCAGAGAATCGCGATTCCATCAGGAGAGGTTTAGCTGCCAGGCTGCCACCTCCACAAATCTCTGACGAATTCCTGCTTGGAGGATCCTGAGAAAAGACTTCACTTTCCTTCAAAAGGGTCGACAGTAAATCCCAGTTGCTCCTAATTAGGCCTCCTGTTTTGTTAATTGCTCTGGGAACTCCCTGGAGAGGGTAGAATGCCTGGGCCCACAGTGGTTTGGCTTCAAGTGTTAGCGATGGCCCCTTAAGAGCCAGGTCCACGGAGCCGCTGCAAGGGGCCAGCCTCCAGAGCCGCCCTGGAGGGTGTGGGAGCCGGCTGGGCTTGGGGACAGTCAAGCTAAGAGCCGCTGCACACCTGGCTTCCTCCTTGCATAGAAAGGAATCTGTAAAAAGTTGCGGGTAACCACAGCCCCGTGAAATAGTCTTCTGAAAGGTTGCATTGGCTTACTGGGTTTCAGCACCGCTGTCCAGTCGCGTGCCTCATTTAGGAATCGTCCGCACGTGAGTGTTACCACCACCATCTTCATCTGCACTGCCGTCCGACTGAGGGCTTCTAAGCCACTTCCATGTGTGCTAATATGCTGTAGCACATTCGCTTCGCCCCTGGTAGGCACAGCTGGGGCCGTTGTCCTGGAGTCACTTGAAGCTCAGGGGGAGGAGTCCACCGGACAGGAGACATGAAGAGTCAGTGCTGGAACTGAAACCCATGTTATTGTGTTAGCTCCTTAATGCTATTCTGAGCTCAGAAATCTCACTCACTGAAGATATATGAGAAATAATTATGTAGATCATATTCATATTATTAAAGTATTAAATAATATGTTATTTACATTAAGTCTATAGAGAATATTTATATTGCATATTTCCTAATTCAACACATATTTATTGAACACCTACTGCGTGTCGGCACCATTCAAAGTGTGGATGGTAAAGCACTGAACGCAACAGCAAGGTCTCTGCCACTGAGGAGCTGACCCTCTGCTGGGGGACAAATTATAAAATTATTATCGTAAATTATAAAAAATAAGCTGTGATTTATCATGCAATTTTTATCATCCAAACCATTTCCCTTTTGAGTATGAAAGAGTTTTAATAATTACTCTGGGACAACAGATACAGACTGGCACTGTCCTGAGCAAAAGTGGACATCTGGTCACCCTAGGAATGAAGAAAAACAAGGCTAATGAAATCACAGAGGCTGGTGACACAGAAGCAAGAGCCAGAGGCCTGGATTCCTGTTACCTTGGTTACCTGTTACCTTGGTTAATCACTTCAGTTGTCTATGGACCAATTTTCTCCAACCCCAAAGCAGTTATCAGCAACCTCGCCTGAGTCACTTGGGGAAATTCAAGTTCTATCTGCCGAGTGCAAGGTCTCTGTAGTGATGCACAGTCTAGAAACTGGGTTCCGGTTCTTGCTCTTCCAGGAAGCCGCAGCATGTCCCTAGGGAGGTCGTCCTTGGGCCCGAGTTCCAGTCTCTCCAGCCCTTACTGTCATTCAGCGTTGCCTGAATTCTGCAGCCGGCGCCTTCTCAGCAGGAATCCATTTCCTCGGCTGTGTGGGGTGAGAGGAGTAGCAGCCCCTCTGCCTGTCTCATCCAGGGGCTGCAAGTGTGATCACGGCTCTTCAGGCCGAACTATCCCCCAAGAAAATACTTGATCCAGCCTGGGCTTCTCAGGGCAGGGAGGGGAAACACAGTATTCCTTGCATTTTACACAATGAGGTGCGCGGGGCTCACCCAGAGGAGGGGACGCACACCTCTGGTTGGCAGTGCTGAGCTACCAAAATGAGGTGCGGTGGGAAGGGTGCTCCCCGAGCCGTGCGCACAGCTGCCTCTCCCACCTCTTAGGGCTGCCTTTTAGACTGATAAAGCCGACAGTCCCTAAAGGTAGAACAATCGGGGAAGACATTGTGGTCTTCCCTTATTACACCTTCAAATGGGAAAGCCACACCCGTTCCACCACCTCGTGCAGCTACATTCTGATTCCAAAGGCACCTGGACTGCCGCAAAGTAGCAAAGTACGTGGGCAAAAGCAAAGCATTTTCCCAGCAGGAGGGGCTACCAACAAGAGAGGGAGGGACAAAGAGGAGAGGCCTCTCTGGCTGAGGGTGAACCTGCCCACCCGGACTCCCCCTGAGCTCCTGTCCCCCCAACAGGTCCTTTTTTCTCAGTTATTGGGAGGTGCTAATGTGCTCCACATATGAAATTCATATCATTTGTGTTTGGCCTCCTCTGCCGTTGGAAGGGTTGCGAGGGGCACCATTTTAGAAATTAATTTGCTGGGTGTCCTGTCTATCTGTGAGGTGCAGGAGGAGGCCGGCCCGCCCGAGTATTTATCAGACACATGCCGCCCATCTGCCAGAGCCCGCTCCAGGAGGATTTGCGGTTAATCCTTCAGCCCCATCTGTAGGGGGTTCAAAATGCTGACCAGGAAGCTAGACAAGATGAGGTTTATTTAATTAGAAAAACGGCTCTGGAGGTTACTAGGAATCACTGGGAGGAAGGAAGGGCCTCTGGCCGCAGCGCTGTCTCTGGCCAGGGCGGAGCTGAAGGTGGGGAGCAGCGGGCAGAGGTGGTTTTGAGTTGGGCCTGGGGCAGTTTGTTTTGATTTTTCAGGTGGCTGTGGCCTCCCCCGTGGGGGACGAAAGCTTCCTCCTTGGTCATGCGTGAACCAGAATCAGCAGCAGCTTGGACAATTCCATGGGAAGTTCAAGGTCACGGGTACAAGAGGTGATGCGGAGCCACAGATGACTGCTCTCGGGTTTTCAAGTTTGGATCCAGACGCACAATGGTTTAGGAGCTTGGTGAGGCCTGGGCAAGAGGTGGGGCGGCTGAATCCCTGGCACTTAGGCTCACCTGCCCAGAGGCCAAAAGCAGCTTGGGGCTAACACCGTGAACCTACACTTTAGTCCTCAGAATTCACCAGAAGAGTCTTGTAACTGGGACTTATTGCCATTTGAGATCCATTTTTAAGGAAAGGGAAAACAGCAAAATTGCATTTCAATTTTGCTCCAGATGGAAGAAGCTGTTCCAAACAAACTAACCAGCAATGGCAGATTTTCTTTTATCGTGAAAATATCATCAGCGTCATTGGTTGCCGCAGGGCTGCCATTTGGGAGGACGGGGCAGGGGGCCTGTGCGTCTCCCGCTCAGCTGCGGCGGTCATTTCCTGGCCACATAAAGCAGGCAATTTCACTGGAGTGCTCCGAGACCAATGGTCCCCGCCTGCCTGGGGCGCTCTGCAGTGGTGTCCCTGCTGCCGCCCAGATTCCGGGACACTGGTCTCCCAGGGATCCTATTTTGGAGGCTTGAGCGTTTCCTTTTATTTTCTTTAAAGGTTATTGTTAGGGACCAAACACTCACCTGGGAATAGGTGTTCAATAAAAACAATTGTTTGGTAGACTGAACAAAACATTTATTTTTTAGAAATTGACAGCCACTCAGGAGTATGAAGCCCTGGCCTGGTCTCCAAATACACTCTGAGTCTCTCCCTCACACTGGGGGACACGTGGTTTGGAGCAGCGTGGGCTCCACGTAGCCTCAACCTTGCCCATTCGGCTCCCATTCAGAATTTCCCAGCATTCCTTTCTCCTGCCACCGTGGGAACTCCGGCTGACAAAGGACACCAGCAGGCCCAGAAAGGCAAGAGGAAAATGGCCCTCAGCTGTTTGAACTCATCAGGGAAAGAGAGCAAGCAGCAGTCACTGCGGAGGGCATTTGGGGAGACGGCGCCCCTGCTGTACACAGAGGTGTGCAATGCGCCCTGCACCAATGGCCTGACCGCATTTTGATTTTAACAGTGGACCAAGAGTCCATGGAGCCAGCGCCGCGGCTCACTAGGCTAATCCTCTGCCTTGCGGCGCCGGCACACCGGGTTCTAGTCCCGGTCGGGGCGCCGGATTCTGTCCCGGTTGCCCCTCTTCCAGGCCAGCTCTCTGCTGTAGCCAGGGAGTGCAGTGGAGGATGGCCCAAGTGCTTGGGCCCTGCACCCCATGGGAGACCAGGAGAAGTACCTGGCTCCTGCCATCAGATCAGCGTGGTGCACCGGCCGCGGCGGCCATTGGAGGGTGAACCAACGGCAAAGGAAGACCTTTCTCTCTGTCTCTCTCTCTCACTGTCCACTCTGCCTGTCAAAAAATTAAAAAAAAAAAAAGTGTTCAGAAATAAAATTGCATCTAGTTTAAAAAAAAAAAAAGTCCATGGAGACTGGGCCTCAGGTAGAACCTCTGACCACCTCGCTGCCTGCACGTCTCCTTCTGTGCCGGCCAACTGGCTACACTGGAATGCTGAAAGAAAAATAAAGAAAAGCCCAAAGACTCAGAATTAAATTCTAAAAGAGAAGCTACACAGTTGCCGCTTTGCTTTCCCCATTCAGGGAGATGTGTACTTTGTTTCTCTTCCGATCTATAGGAAGGACGGTCGTATTGGTAAACCAAAAAATGGATGTTTTCTCCTAACTGTGGATGACTTATTTTACCTTGTAAGTAACAGTCTAAAATACCTCTGAAATTTGGTTATACGGATGTGCTATGCAGGGGCCAGCGTTGGAGCACTGTGGGTTGAGCTGCTGCCTGTGACAACCTGCATCCCAAACGGGCGCTGATTCAAGTCCTGGCTATTCCACTTCCCATCCAGCTTCCCGCTGATCCGCAGGGGATGGCTGTAGATGATGGCCCAAGTACTTGGGTCCCTGCCACCCACATGGGAGACCCAGATGGAGTTTCAGGATCCTGGCTTCGGCTTGGCCCAGCACTGACCATTGTGGTCGTTTGTGGAGTCAACTCAATCCAGCTCTCCCACTTCCGTTACCACTGCCTGCCAGGATGCACACTAGCAGGAAGCTGGAGCCAGGCATTGAACCCAGGGACTCCATTCAATATGGGATGGGAGCATCTTAGAGGGAGAGAGAGAGAGAGGAATAGAGAGAGAGAGAGAGTTCTTCCATCCACTGGTTCACTCCCCAAATGGCCACAATGTCTGGGGCTGGGCCAGGCTGAAGCTGGAAGCCAGGAGCTTCTCCCAGGTCTCCCACGTGGATGCAGAGGCCCAAGCACTTGGGCCATCTTCCACTGCTTTCCCAGGCCATAGCAGAGAGCTGAATCGAAAGTGGAGCAGCTGGGACTTGAACAGGCACCCATATGGGATGCTGACATCTTCTACACTATAGCACCAGTCCTGGGGGCATCTTAACAGAATCTTAACCACCAGACCAAATGCCTTCTCCAGATGTTTTTTAAATGCTAAGTTAACTATGAATCCTGTGAAATCACAAAAGTCGCCATCTTGTCACCAGAGAGCACAGTCATTGTGTCCTCTCTGCTCACCCCCAGACCTGCAGGACTGAGCCCCCTTTACCTTATGGAGCCTGGGGCTGAAGGACAACACACGCGGAGGTTCCTGGAGAAAGTGTTGTTTCTAACCTGACTGCGGGCTTCCTCCTCTTCCTCTGAGGACCCTCGGGCCTGGCCTCACTGCAGCGAGCCTGGCTCTCAGCAGCTGTGCCTCGGTGGGAGGACTCCTAGGGGCCCTGCGTTGCTGAAGGTTTGGATGTAGACCAGGAAGGCTCCTGATGTGGGTCTGCAGTGGGGTCAGGAGGCCTGGGCTCAGCGGTTAACACCGCAGGCAGGCACAGGTGTATTTGTAGGCTCCTAGGTTCTCATAGCAAACTCCCCACGATTGAAACGATGAGTTTTAGAGCAAGGGAGGCACCAACCCCATCCTGCACGGGGAGCTCTTGAGAACCAGGTGTGGCCTTCTGGGGGCCAGACCTGGCTTTATCTCACTTCCAGACCTTTATCAGCACGTCCTAGATCCCATGTTTACCTCTGAGTGTGTTCTTTGTCTCTACTATCTCACCCCCCCTGAGTGGCTGTTTTTTAGTGAGATAATACCTTTACATTTCCTGCCCTTGGCTAGTTCTGATGTTTGGTGCTGATAATAGTCAAAGCCTCATTAACTCATTCATTCATTCTGGAGAATTCCTGAGAGAATCAGGCTGTTTGTGTTCACCTTTAGATCTGCCAGGTACTAGCTGTGTGCCCTTGGGTAAGTTAGCTCTCCTACACCTCGTCTGAAAAGCAGAGCTGGTACTGTAATTCTGCTGGCCTCGTGGCTTTATTGCGAGGATTGGGTACGATGATGCGTGTGAAGTACTTGGCTTAGTGTTGAGAATGTTGTATGTAGTTATCAGTAAAAGGCAAAAAAATTCGTTGCACAAATATTTATTAAGGACACACTGGTGGTAGGCCTAGTGCTAGCTGGGATTAAGGCTGGCCCAGTAGCAGACTGAAGGCTTTGTTCCTCTTGGGCCCAGTCTTCCCAGTGAAACCCATTATCTTTAGCAGGAGGAGATAAAGTTCACTTGCAGCATTTAATTAACACCTTTTCCTCTGTCCTTCTACCAATAATCATAATACAGCCACAACCAAGAGGACTAAGAGCAAACATTCCACCACCCAGTGGGGCAAGAGAGGAGTCCCAGCACCAAACACAAGAGAAGAAAGATAAGGAAGTAGAAAGGCTACTTGCCTGGTGTGGTCAGTTTACAGTGGAGATTTATATATGTATGCAACAAAGATTGCAGTGTCTCCCACCAAAACATGCAAATATCACCTGTTAATAAAAAGTGATTGAAGGGTGAGCATTTGGCACAGTAGCTACACCACCACTTGGGACACCCACGTGCCATATCAGAATGCCAGGCTTTGAGTCTCAGCTTTGCTTCCAATTCCAGCTTCGGGCTGATGTGCACCCTGGATGGTGATGGCTCAAGTACTGGGTCCTTGCCATCCCCATGAGAGACCAAGATTGAGTTCCAGGCTGTGGCCTGACCCAGCCCTAGCTGTTGGGGGCATTCGAAGAGTGCAATAGTGGATGAGAGATTCCTCTCTCTCTCTCTCTTTCTCCCCCTCCCTCCCTCCCTCCCTCCCTCTCTGGCTCTTTGCCTTTCAAATAAGTAACAGTAAATAAATAAATATTTTTAAATACAAAGAATTATAATAAAATAAAAAACAGTTAAAAAATAGCAACGAGGACATGTATGCAGTGTTCCTCCATGCTAGGCATCATGCTAAGAGTGTCCCACATGTCGCCTGGTTTAATCCTCACACTATCTCCTTGGTGTGAAACTGTTTGTCCATCTGTGGATGAGGAAATTAAGACACAGGGAAGGGGAGTCACTTGTCCCAAGATCTCACAAGCTGAAAGCTATAGGCTGGGAGCTCCACCTCATTAGCAGGAGGCTGGATGGGAAGCGGAGGTGGGACTTGACTCCAGGCCCTTGGCTGTGGGATGTGAACATCTGAACATCTCGGCTGCATCACCTGCTGCACCATGACACCTGCCCCTGGCTGGAGTCCGGCAGGGCGGGTCCAAAAATGATGCCCTACAGGGACTCAGCCTGAGTGCAGGGCAGGCCGACTGGGAAGACTGGGGAAGCTGTGCCCCTGCCCTGCTTTAACCCTGCCTCTTAAAACCTGCCTCAAAACTGCGCGCCTGCACGAAACACCCTCCCTACCATAAGTCATCAGGTGCTCATTGATCTTGCAACCCCTGCTGCCTCTGCGATTGTGGGTACAGCCCTGCCCTGCCCTGCCCTGCAGCCAGGTGGTTTGTAAGAGCTCACCTGTTCCTCCCTGGCTAGACGCTCACCGTCCTCACACGCAAAGACGGCAGCTTTGGCTCCCCTGGAGACCCGCAGGGTGCCTTTAGGAGACAAGGTAGACAACCTTGGTGACAGGCAGCTGTCCTGGGGCTCTGCCTTCATTCCAAGGAGTATGCTTGAAGCATCTGCAGCAGGGCCAGCTTGTGGGTAAAGACAAGCGCAGCGCTCAAGAAGCTGACATGGTGCTGTGCGGCCGCAGTGGTCACAGCCTGTTGACTCTGTCAGGGCTTGTGTTTATCCAAAGAACAAGGGAAATTTCTGTGGATTTGCAGCCAGGGGAGAGGAAGACAGCCTGCCAAGAATGGTGGTGTGAAGGGAAGCAGCAGGTAGATTGGGTGCATATTGTGGAGGGAAAACACAGTAGGGTTCAGCGATCGGCGGATGGGGAGCTGGGAAGAAGCGTTGTTCATGGAGCCCTTTTGTGCACCTGGTATCACTCTCAGTGCTTTACAGGGAACACACACGCTAGCCCTGTTGGCAGCGAAGCAGCCACACAGAGGTGGAGCCCAGAACACAGCAGAGCCGGCACTGAGCCCCAGGGCTCACTCTCCACCATTCTGCTCCTGCCTTCCCCGCGGTGCCTCAGTTTCTCACCTGCGCTGCGCTGATGAATGGTGACGCCGCCCACTGAGATGGTAACAGTGGAGAGCGGTGGGCGGGGGTGGGGGTGATGTGAGGATGGTTGGAGATGCAGTCCACGTCCACGGGAAGCCCCCGGTGTTTGCCGGTCCTCCATACCTGCCTCATGTCTGTCAGGTCTTCGCTCGCGTGTCAACCCCGCAACAATGTCTTTCTAACCACTCTACCCTGCCCTGTCCCCTGACCCACCATGTCCCCATGCTTTCCTCCAGCCCACCCCGTTGATCACCTCCCGCTGCCTTGTTAGTGGACTGTCCCTGTCTGCCACCCCTTGGAGAATGCAGCTACTCCCTGTTGCCTCCCAAGGACCTCAAACAGTGCCCAGGGCATGGCAGACCCTAATAATGATAATGCAAGTGTTTGTCGAGTGGAAGAATGGAAATTGCGTTTCAGCAAGCCCAGGTATAGACTCCTGGACGTGTCCAGAAGATGGGAATCCATGCTTACCTTTCACAGTGATTGCCATGATTAACCAGAAGAGCTCCAGGAATAACTTCCCTGACTGATTTGCTTGCTTGGTGGTTGCCATTACGTGGCTTGATTAGATCCACTGGTACCCTTTGTTTTCAGCTTTGTAGGGTATGGCTGCTGTTTCCTGATTGGTAGGATCTGTGGAGTAAACAGAAAGATTGTGACCATGTTTTTCCTTTTGCTCCCTATTTTATCATGTTTGTTGGTTTACCTGTATGGTACAGATGCACTAAACCCTTAACCTATTCTACTACATACGGGAAGCGTGACGGGGCGGGCGGCTCACTTCCTTAGTGCCCTCACATTCAGTGAGTGACACATGCGGCTGTCTCTTTAACTACAACCCCCAGACGTCATCACCGCCTGCACTGGCAGGTTCTGTTGTGAACGGGCAGCGATGTGGTCCCAGCCCGAGACCTGCAGAGGGCCATGTTCATTCTCCAGGCTCCTAGAGCCTCTGCATCCTCTCACTGTGTGAAGAAAAATCAGGAGAAAACAAAATATTCATTGCTGCGTTCTCTCTGCTGCTGCTCCCCGACCCCAGGATTTAGATACAAGATCGTGAGTCCGAGCCGGCGCCGTGGCTCAATAGGCTAATCCTCCACCTTGCGGCGCCGGCACACCGGGTTC